ATGGTGAAACCCTGTCTCTATTAAAAATACAAAAATTAGAGTGTGGTGCCTCATGCCTATAATTCCAGCACTTTAAGGGGCCGAGGTAGGTGGATCATCTGAGGTCAGGAGTTTGAAACCAGCCTGGCCAATGCGGTAAAACCCCATCTCTACAAAAATGCAATAATTAGCTGGGCATGGTGGTGGATGCCTGTAATCCCAGCTACTTGGGAGGCTGAGGCAGGAGAATCACGTGAACCTAAGAGACAGAGGTTATAGTGAGCTGAGATTGTGCCACTGCATTCCATCCTGGATGACAGAGTGAAACTCTGTCTCAAAACAAACAAACAAATAAAAATACCCAATCAAGGGAGAAAAAAGAATAAAGCATGCCCACAAAATCTAAAAAAATGGTCTCAAAAGGGCAAATCTAAGAGGTCTTGACTTTAAAGAGGAGGGAGAGAGAGAGAATGAGATGGGAAGTTTATTCAAAGTGAAAATAACAGAGAACTTTCCAAACCTAGAGAAAGTTATTATTGTTGTTGTTGTTATTATTTGAGACAGGCTCGCTCTGTTGCCCAGGCTGGAGTACAATGGCATGATCTTAGCCCACTGCAACCTCTGCCTCTCAGGTTCAGGCAATTCTCCTGCCTCCGCCTCCCGAGTATCTGGTATTACAGGCACCCGCCACCACGCCCAGCTAATTTTGTATTTTTAGTGGAGACTGGGTTTTGCCATGTTGGCCAGGCTGGTCTCGAACTACTCACTTCCGGTGATCTGCCTGCCTTGGCCTCCCAAACTGGGATTACAAGTGTGAGCCACCAAGCCCAGCAGAGTAAGATATCAATATTAAGTAAAAGATGATAGAGCACCAAGCAGATTTAACCCAAATAAGTCAACCTCAAAACATTTAATAATCAAACTCCCAAACATCAAGGATTAAAAAAAAAAAAACCCTAAAGCAGCAAGAGGACAGGCACAATGGCTTATGTGTGTTATCCCAGCACTTTGGGAGGCCGAAGCGGGCAGATCACTTGAGGTCAGGAGTTGGAGACCAGCCTGGCCAACATGGAGAAACTCCATCTCTAGTAAAAATACAAAATTATCTGGGCATGGTAGTAATCCCGGCTACTCAGGAAGCTGAAGCAGGAGAATCACTTGAACCCAGAAGGCAGAGGTTGCAGTGAGCCAAGTTCACCCCATTGCACTCCAGTCTGAGCAAGAGTGAGACTCCATCTCAAAAAACAAAACAAAACAAACAAACAAAAACAAAAATTAGCCAGCATGGTGGCGCATGCCTGTACTCCCAGCTACTCTGAAGGCTGAAGCACAAGAATCGCTGGAACCCAGAAGGCAGAGGTTGCAGTGAGCCAAGTTCACCCCATTGCACTCCAGTCTGAGCAAGAGTGAGACTCCATCTCAAAAAACAAAACAAAACAAACAAACAAAAACAAAAATTAGCCAGCATGGTGGCGCATGCCTGTACTCCCAGCTACTCTGAAGGCTGAAGCACAAGAATCGCTGGAACCCAGAAGGCAGAGGTTGCAGTGAGCCAAGTTCACCCCATTGCACTCCAGTCTGAGCAAGAGTGAGACTCCATCTCAAAAAACAAAACAAAACAAACAAACAAAAACAAAAATTAGCCAGCATGGTGGCGCATGCCTGTACTCCCAGCTACTCTGAAGGCTGAAGCACAAGAATCGCTGGAACCCAGAAGGCAGAGGTTGCAGTGAGCCAAGTTCACCCCATTGCACTCCAGTCTGAGCAAGAGTGAG